CACCATTCAGTCAACTCCCAGACTACATAAGACAACAGACACCCAGGTTGGGTCCATTCTCCTACTCTATTGGATTCCCTTTATAGTAGTACTAACAACAACAACAATAATACCTTACAACCCTGACAGGATTAGTGGTTGATGGATGGATAGATGGATGGATGATAACGAGAGTGAGAAGCTTTAATTGTAGTCTAACTGTATCTAATTTGATAATATTCCAGAAACCAGCCAGGTATAACATCATTTGGTATAAGTTAATTCTAAAATGATGTAACCCTTCATACTGTTAACTTCATGCTGATGTTAAAGTTGGAAAATTGAACAATACAATAGAAGAGATATGACCCTAACCTGGACATGTGGTTAGAGGATAAGAAAATAAGCAAATGCTTACTGAGGTCTCCTTTTGAACCCCTAATAGTAATAATAAAACAGCTTCCCTCCCACAAGTGTTAAAGTGAAAATCTGAATAGTCTGGAATGCAGATTCCATTCATAAAATTCTGCAGAATATTAATAAAGCTTTTATTTTAAAACAAACACAAAACAAATCGGCAAACTTATATAAGCCAGAATAATGAGAAGCAGCTTGGATTGTATGTTCAAATTGATTTCCTCTGTACACCGAGTACACACAAAAATAGACAAGCACAGACCTCTCATGGGCATTTGGGGCATCCTGAGAGACGTGGTCCTGTCATTGAAAGCCGTGACGAATAATGCAACCAGATACACAATGTGCTGGAAAGGAAATAAACAAGTATCCTCAAGAACTTGACAACCACAAACACCACCCTTCCTATCCCTCAGTGCTCCATTTGATTTTAATTCTATGCATTTATGTATTTGCGTGTTTACAGTGTGTATATACACACACACATACAGCATACATCAACAAGAACACAACATCATCTTTGTATGCTAACCAGTAACAGCTTTTTAATTGAAAGACATTTTTGCAGCTTGTCCATAATAAAAGCAATGCTTTTAAAACAGACTAAAAAAATGTTACATTACCTTGTGTTAATAATAGTAGTGTATTATTATTGTTGTAATTATTATTATTGGCTTTATAGTATTATATAAAGGCATACAACATACTGTAGAAGACCAATCATGCTGCTGAACGTAGCCAAGCATTGTTGAGAGCTAATTTCAATGCTTATTTTCAGAATATATTTAAAATAAAAATAATTTGTCAAGATAAGTGAACAGCTAAACTTAGGATCTATTTGTCTCCTCAGTTGTATTCTCCTTGTGACATAAGACTGCAATACCAAGGACTAGTACAAACCAAACTACAACCACAACCTAAATCAACACAAGCTAACTCTTCCAACTGGGTCCTGTATCAAGTAGACGGATATCTTGTTTAAGCCAGATAACTTGTCTGATTTAAGGCACCCCAGTTTAAATGGACTTTATCTCTGTTCACTTACACGTAGCCCAGGCTACCTTAAATCCAACAAGTTATCTGGCTAAGCAGTAAGCAAGAAATCCTACAGGCCCCCAATTATAGACTATTGGCATGATATAAATACAGCTGTACTCACCAGATCATTGACAGTCATGGTGATGTTATGTGACAGGCAGAGCAGTATGCAGGATTGGATACTAAAGTGTGTGTATGTGTGTATGCATGTGAGTGAGAGTGCATGAAGGGATAGAGTGACCAAGGAGGAAGCATGTGCTCTTACTTATAGTTGTCTGTGTTCCTGTGCATAACTGGAAAGTCCTGACATTTCTCAATCTGATGGACAACACACACGCACAGAAACGAAGTCATGTATACCAACACAGCCTTAGTTACGAGAATGAACATGTTGAGTGGGGAAAACAAACCTACGCACATGTGGACTTTTAGGTGTGAAAATCCAAATAAGAGACAATTTTATTAAAAATTGAGCATTATCCATTTGATTCCAGTCTCCTATATAAGTGATATTTATCTGCCCATTCAATGCAATTGTGATGTTTCTGTGACTGTCTTGATTTTATTGAGTCAAAGTATTTTTTATAAATCTTCCCCAATTATGTTTAATGGGACAATGTCAAGGGCACTTTTCCCAGGCTTTGCTTAGCATGGCATGAATGACTACGTGACACTTTTTAACTCCCCCTTCCTTGGTACACGGCACTGTAACTAGTCACACTGATAAACACACTGTCTCATACATGCATACATGTGGACTGCGCAATTGAAACACCCCCCACACTCGTCAAATTCATTATCAGGACCCGGTGTGGGGGGTGAAAGTGACTCATTGGGCCACTCAGCTTACACTTCTGCAAGCCTTCTGGCTCGCACACTGAAACCAGAGCCCTGCTGACCTTGCTGTAACTCACACTCAATACTATAGGAAAATAGGGACTGCTTACATGCTGTGATATACTTTTAGCTGGAACCATTCTTGCCACAGTTTGCCAAAGTGACAGAATGAGTGAACTCTCATCCGTTACTGTTTCTGAGAAAATTTGCGAAGCACATGCAAAGGGATGATGAGCGCTTTTTTCACTGGGCTGCAGATCGACATGTTTACCTCAATGAATAAAGACTTGACACCCACGACAGCTGATGAATTATCTAGAATGGATGGTTTGAGCAGTAGTAGAATTTTTGTCAGAAAACAGCCATAGTTTACCTGTAAAATGTAAAAGAAAAATAAATGACTGTAAATAGAAAAAATATAAAGAAAAAAAATGGTTAGTGACACCACATTTATATGTCACACGTGAAAAAATGTACTAGTAAAAGGTAAAGACCCCAGAAGGCAAACTGCTGTTTCATCTCATACTATCATTGTTTACCATCACACCTGTTATAGAAGGTTATCTAAATTGCTTGTGAAAAATTCTCTGCACAGCAATATGTACCAAGGAAACAACAAAATATTTCCAAATAGTAAAAATGAATTCTTTGTCTCCTAATTCAACCATATAGCTGTCCCAAGCACTGCTGTGAAGACAGCCACATTTAATGACGTGATACTGTATACAAGTCCTTAAATGGCAATCCCACAATGTTGCACAAGTGCACATCTTGTATGGGGTGGGACTTCGTTCAGTATTGACGTTTTGTACAACTCACTGCACAACTCAAAGACACGTTTTTTTCCTGTGATGTTGATGGAGATTATATGGACCAGAATGTGACTATGTCAGTTTTAGGCTACAATATTTACAGAAACTGATAACCCAAACAGATTAATTTATTGCTACATGTATAATCACATTTTCTTCCATACTTGACACCAACATTTTAAGTTTACATTAACTTCAAATTTCAAATTACTACATTAAAATTATCTTTATCACAATTGTAGGTTTTAGTATTCAATTTGCAAATCTGATTTGCTTCTGTCCTAACTTGGTGGCTTTCTTTTAATCAAGTGTACCACTGAACTTAATATCCAACCGGGTATTCCACTTTAACTCACAGGTTTATTGTATGGTCTGCTTTTTCTTATCCCTCGAGCAGCTAAAATTCAATAATTCTTGTTTCCATTTCATGAAAAAGGAAACCATAACTTATTATAGAACTGCAGGTTTAAGAAGTTTCCTGGTTACAAAAAACTTTCCTAATAAGTAAACATAACCAAATAATATTAAACTAATATAAACAATGAAATAAGGATTCAGTGGTTCAGCCTGAACACTTATACACCATCGTGGGTTGAATTAAGATCACTGATTAAAGGATTGTTAGACATGGCAAACAGGAGTATGTGATGTGAATGGCAGATGGAATAGATCAAGATTAATACTAGTGACTAGCTGAATTACAAACCCCACTGAACAGAGATTCAGAGTTCACAAGTTTCCCTTACGTTACATAATGATGAAATTAAGGGTGTCTAATATATTCCTGAAGTAGCTATTTTCATAACTTCCCATTTCTCATCTAGACCTGATTTCTCCATCAACTCACTCACTCATGTGCCCCTTCATCTGAAATGTCAGACATATCATCATAGCACTTAAATGTGTTGAAAGACTCAGTGTTACATTAATGCTATGAAAAAACACAGGGTCTTTTCCATGTTTGTGATAGGATACAGATTTACTGGATGGAGAGCGTCTGTCTGACCATAAGGAAAGATGACTTTTAGCAGGCTGTGTAGACAGCCTTGGGCCCCTAGCATCACTTCTAATACAAAATTTACAGACATAATGTGCTACAAATAAATGAAAATCATGTAGATACATTTCACAAAATTGCAAGCATGGGATTCCAATTTTTCCCCACATAAACAATAAAATGTTGTGTACAAGGAAAGTTTAAGTCTTATTTTCAATATGAACTCCCACACCATTTTATACATACATATGGCCAATAACAAAAGTGAGCATTTTTGGCATACGGCACATCTTCAAATATTGATTTCACGAATGTGAAAACCAGGGAGCGTTTCAAATTTTTATATACACTGATCCTTTGTCATGCTAGCTTTTTACAAGCTGCTCACAGAAAAGTAGCTGCACCTAAGACTAATTATAGACAAAATACGCTTGTCCCAAAAAATATTCTAATACCATAACCACAAGTCACCAGGAAGCTATCACAGCATGATTTCTTCACTAGGGGGCAGATGACACGGAAAACAGTCCTGTATATCACTTTGAGTTTATTCAAAGAAAGAAATAAAAGACCTTCAGGAAAAATACAATAATTGCCATAATACACAGAGAAGACATAAGTTAGCATGTCAGAAACACAGAAGTAAAACTGGTCACTTGTGCCTGATCCGCGATGTGCAGCCAGAGACTGAATGGTGCTGCTGCGTCACCACAACAACAAAAGGATGTTGGGCGTCGGGGCAGACAAATTTTCAATCCATCATTTGTATGATTATTACAGCTGCATCTGTAAAATCAGCTGTTATGGGTTATTGACGGAAATACAAAAAAGGGAAAAACATTAAAAAGCTTTCAAATGAACCATAAATATGATGCACATTAGTGTAACAAAAAACATTTGTCTGTAAACATTTTCTCAACAAAAGGTGAGCATTATAATATTAAACCACTACAGTGGTAATTAGGATTACATAAAATTACTGAAACCAAAAGAAGAAAACTACAATTCAGTTCTTAACTAAATCTAGAAGTTAAAAATATCCAATGCTTAAAAGATCTTGAAGATGCATTTTATTCTTAAATGTAGTGGTTTGGTAATACTGCTCATTATTTTAACAGGCGTCTAGGCCCATGAAGAGAAACAGGGGCTGTGCCCCTTCCGCCTCCAGGGAGGAAAAGTGAAAACAACGGATTTCTGTTCACGGAAGCTAAGTGTCACTCACGGGAGGCCCGGATGTATCTTAGCAACAAGCACAAGACAACATTGTCCAATGAGAGAGACTCGTCAGAGGGGACCATTTACGAAGAAGGCCTCGTACACAAATGGCATTGGTTTTTCCACTTAGAAAGTGTTCAACATGCAAGAAAAGACATGGACTGAGGATCACTTGGCAACCAGGCAGGTCCGGCACCTCCCACACCCAAACAACTGAGCAAGGTCAACTGAACAAATGCGCAAAACAGTAGGTAAGAAATGTCTTTGAAAACCAGTTGGTAAGGGACAGCATGGGAATTCCGGATGGATTTGAGAATCTTGAGAAAACGGGTCCGCTCTTCTTATGGTCTGCCTCATGTGATAACAGGATGCAGCACAGCAAGCCAAAGAAGAAATGGGAGAGTACGGTCAGCTGGGATATTTACCCACTTCATATCATATTATCTGTCCACTTCCTGTTCCACAAGACTTCACACAAACAGAGTGCACTGATTTGGACCATTTCCAGGAGTGAAAGGGGAGGGAACAAAGTAAGGTTAATTACGAACTGCTACTGAGACAGCTGAAAGGTAGTATACTACTCAGACAATGGTCAGAGTCCCATGACCCAGCAACCTTATACATATGAAGACTCAGGCCTTCAAGATGTACTTGTATATGTGGGCCAGCACATGAGCAGTATTAAGGCAACTGTAAAGCACAGTATAAAAAAGGTAACTTCACTTAGGCAAAGATGGGTAAAAATAGTAGGGGCATTCTAGGGAATTTTAGTTTCTGGGAAAAAGAAGAGTTAAGGAGAAAAAAAAACCTTACTGGGAACCACTCTTCAAAAGTCATAAATTGTTGGCCAACCAACGTCATGTATCATTTTCCTCCTTCCCTCATGCATGTGTATGCGTGCAATGCTTTCAAAAATGTGCAATGCTGCCAGATCACACTACGAACTGTCTGTGCCTTTGTCAAAGCGGTAATATTCTGCAGAAGCACAATGTAATCTGCCTTTTAACATGAAAAATGGCAAAAAAAACTACCCAGGAAAATTATTCTAGTAATTCTCCGTGCACAGGATGAGCCTTCTTTAACAAATTAAAACCTACAATGGTATTTGTGGAATCGCACCATTCACCATACCTTCATTACTGACCATAAAACCCCAAAACAGGAAAATGGACCACAGTATGAATTGTGCCATAATCCCCATAATGCCGTTTGGCCTCACACATTCAAGCTTGTAACCTGGCCTGCCATCAAAAAGAGTCTGCAGCTGGAAGAGTCATGCATAGTGCAGAAAATACGACAGATCTCATAACCAGCACAAAGGACCCAAGTGCTCCTCTGGTGCCCCCCCTCCCTCCCTGACAGTAGGGAGTGTCATTAAAATGCTTTGGGTTTTTTTTTTTTTTTTTAAATCAAGATCACACATAGGTGGAATGTGCGAGACGACAGGAGGGTGGATCACTGGTGAACTATGTGAACTATTAAATATGACCATTAGAATAAAAACCATCAAATATCAACTCCCCCCTCAGGAGTATAGGAAACATGGCCCTAATCCACCTACTGATATTGATACCTATTGCCATATAAAAAGGAATAAAATTTGGATAAACCTCATTACAGACTCAAAAGGGTAGAGGATGTGGTCCACACAGTTAGCCAGTGTAACAACTAGAAGGTTCTGTCCTCCCCACACCTATATGACTGATCCTTATAACCCCTTTCTCTGATCCTTATAACCATCTTAGCAATGAAGTAGGCCAAAATAAAATTAAGAAAACGTGGGATTTATTAATTGAGAAGGAAAAAAAAAAACAAAATACAGTTGCACTTTTTTCCTAGAACATGTCCTAACACCCTGTAGAGGACCACCTTATGGAAATGTCAAAAATGCAACACAAAAATGCCTGCCCTAACCCAAAAGCACACGTGACGAGGACAAAAAGCCCTCAGACCCCACCCACTCCTTTTGCCACAAAAACACCAAGGCCAACCCTCCCACCCATGATCCGAGTGAAGTGTGGACAGCCTCCGATTGATTATCCTGCCCGTTTGCAAACACTTGTAAACCCCCCACTCCTTCCCTCAAGCAGGATACATAAACATACAGATTTCTCAACTGTAGGAGTGCTACCCCAAACCTTAAACATAGGAGAATTCAAGGGGGTCTTGATATCTTAGGAAAGACCAAATGCAGGTCTACATCAGAACTTAGATATCTTGATAGTGCAGGGAAGCTATTGGGGTTTAGGCTGTCATTAAGGTTACAATCTGATAACATAACCAATATCTGCAAACTCATTGGCCATGAGAAGGTCCTCTTCCTGCGCATCCCATGCGTCTTGATTTTTCTTGTTAGAGGTCCCCATTCACTTCTGGGGTGGCTTGGTACGGCAATTGAAGTTTCAGTTCAAGGTTGTCGTGTTTGTTTCTTGGTTGTCGTCTTAAATATTGAGGGGAAAAATAAAACTTATTCCAATGTGGGGGGCATATCTTCTACCAGCTAAGCAGGGAACTTCGCCCCAAGGTCATGAAGTACACCTGGCTAGAGCCCCCAGAGCGCACTGAGGCAAAGAACACCTATGGACAGAGAGAGAGAGAGATGCATGAAGCACAGGACACCCTTGGGTACATCACACATCAGAAGCAAATATACATTAATGCATTAACACGTTCATTAATGCATTTGTGGGAGGCAAGTTTGTGCTCCACTACGTATCCGTCATTCCCCCCACCCAGACCAGTCAACTGACTGCATAAAGGACAAACATTAGCTGAACTGCATGGATTGCTTTTCTTTTTTGGTCACAAAACAATGCACCAACATCCAACTCTCTCTATAGGCTGACCAAGTACTCGTATAGCATGTGCTGCAGTAGGCTGGAAACCCCATCTATTGCATTCCCTGGGAGGAAACTGGAAATCACTTATTCAGAATTTTATAGTAAGAAGAAGTGAGAAGCATCTACATGCTTTTACAGGAAATGAAATTTGAGGCACCCTCGAAACAACTTGAAATTAGTTCTACCTCACACACACCTACCTTATCATTCCTCTCGCACAGGAACTTCAGCCTCTGGGCCCTCTTGTGCATGAAAACTCCGTCCAGGTGTCCTGTCTCTACGGAACGGATCTCTATGGCCTTCTCACCCCAGCCCATGATCTGGTTGGACCTGATGTAGGCTGTGGGGAGATAGTGTTTGCTGAAAACTAATATCTGTACAGTTGCTTTCATCAGAATTGATGTTGTTATCTGTGATAACAAAAGCCTAGTTAGAAGACAATTAGAAAATACTCCCCCCCCCCACTTCACTCACTTGTATACCCAGATTATTCGTCTGAAATATATTACAGTTTATATTATAGTCAGTCCTGCTACAACGCGACTAATGCATTCCTGAAAAATCTCATGTTCACTAAAATCAGACGCTAAAATACACATATCCAATGGAAAAAATATGGGTAGGGAAAAGTGACTGTAGAACTTCGTCACTTATGCCAAATGAAATGAGTTATGCACAAATAACAGTGACACCTGTGGCCAATAATATGATTAAATGCACTTTAAATTTAACTAAATAATAATACATTAATAAATTATATCAAAAACATCTCCTACAGGTTTTATGAGTATCAAGAGGATGGCCTAGTAACCACAACAACTGAACGTGCTGAACTCACTAACTTGTCAATTGCAGAGAGTCAGGAGTAGCAATGGCCAGAACGACCCATTTGCTGTAGTTTCTGACCCACTACATCAGTGGTATCAAACTCCAGTCCTGGGGGGGGCGGAGCCCTGTGCAGCTTAGTTCTATCCCTGTTCCACCACAAATGATTCAGCTCAAGAGCTGTGTGGTAATTAGCAGGAGAAGATGAATCAGGTGTGTTAAATGAAGAGAAACCTAAAAATGTGCAGGGCTCTGGCCCCCCAGGACTTGAGTTTGACACCCCTGCACTAGATGGTGCATTTGGTTCACTTTGGGGCATGCTTTGAGCCCATTTATGAACAGAGAGCTCCATCTAGTGGGGTCAGAAAATACAGCAAATGGTTCACGAAGCATTGTTTTGTGGGAGCGGGAGTAGTAGGCTGCAGCTGCTGGACAAGCACATGACTACAGAGTCTATAAAAAGCACATGCAAGTGAATAAAAAAAATGTTGGTGTGTTTTATATGGTAATTTGTCAAATATTTTTAGATTTTGAGAATCCAAGACTGACTTGTGCCATGTGTTTGATCGTTTTAGAAAACCGGTTTGACCAATTCACTAAAAAGAACCGGATGATGAAAAGAATTATTCATGGATCGGACATCAACTGTTTTGCGTGTTAGTAGTGTTCTTCTCTAAGACCATATGGTGTTGTAGTTCACATATTCAATTGGAGAGAAATGCATCTCGTAAAAAAATGCAATTCAGTGTTGCACTGGGTACTACTATAATATATCAATTACAATAAAGCAGAATTATGGTGTAATATCACGCATAGTAGCAGGACTGACAATTACTTTGCAAAGAAGCTCATAGAGGAGTTTTGTTTAATTAAACAGATGGATATTTACATTTAAAAAAATCTGGTCATGGTTCTTTCTCAAGATCAAGTATGGATGCTTGGTCCCTGCCTCAGACTTTGAAATCTGTTACAAGGCCATTGTTAGCGCTGCTGTCTGGTAAAGGGAGAGTCGGGGACATACCTACGGAGGTGGGCATCTCACCCCACTGAAGCACCACATCCTTGGTGATGCGGCCATATGTGTTAACATAAACACCCTCATCCTCGTAGCATACAAGTAATTCAATGCCATCTGTATTGGGCAGGATGATGATGGCATGCGACTGGATGCTGGTCTGGATCTGAAGAGTTACGCATGACAAAGAAATTTGTCATATTAAGACAGAAACTAACAGAATAGCTTCCCTGTCAAGCAGGGTTGCCTAACTCTGATAATCAGTGGATGTCCTGCTGGTTTGAAAATGACACTGGAAACACCACAAAACCAGAATATATTTAAGCCCCCGAGGCCTAGGGGTGGACACCCCTGATGCAACGTCCCAGTTTATAATTACTAATGCTAAATGTTTAATATAACTAGAGATGCCCCGATTGTATCCAGAGTCTGTTTTCTTACCAAAACATAATATAATGAATTCTTAAATTTTGGGTGGAGTGTCTCTTTGAACTTATTTAAGCAGAACCTCCCAAACAAATCGGTATCAGTATCACTTGTCAATTTCGAAGTACAGTGATCCCCCTGCTGTATCGCGGTTCAGCCATCGCGCCCCCGCTGTATCGCGGTTCAGCCATCGCGCCCCCGCTGTATCGCGGTTCAGCCATCGCGCCCCCGCTGTATCGCGGTTCAGCCATCGCGCCCCCGCTATATCGCGGATTTTTCCCCGATGTATCACAGTTCTCTGCATATCGCGTACCTTGCTTGTGATCCAATTGTTGTGAGCAAACGTTTTTTTGAACTTTTCGTTTTGTTTTAAGCCCTGCGTTTTAAAGCTTAAACTATTAAAAAATGTTTATTTATATGGTCTTTCTATAACGTGGATTTTCACCTATCGCTGATGGGTCTGGAACGTAACTTCCACGATAGGCGGGGGATCACTGTAATCGGCTATTGGTATTGACCAGAGATTTCCTTATCAGTGCATCACTATAATACTTGCAGGTTCTTTTTCTTGAATGCCCTTTGTCAAAGCTCAAAAACTCAGAGTGATATTCTTATCCAATTAAACTCATTAATTTAGGGTAAAACAAAAATTCTCCAAACACATGTTTTGTCATAACACTAATTACTGCCAGCTTTCTGACAAAGTAACTTTCGGTGGGTATCACTGGCCAGACTTCCTTACGTGTGTAGGCAGGTAGATGTCATACACCGCCCCAGAGTCTACATCCACAGCATGGAAGCCAGAGCATGAGCCGTAGATGACCTTCAATCTCTGACCCTCCTCCACCGTCAGGTCAACCAGCAGGGGCTTGTGAACAAGCTCTCCAAATGACTGCAAGAAAGATATCAAAATGAGGCTGTGTGATAATTCTGTAATGACAGTAAATTCATAGATACATAAATTACTTTACAATAGCCCCTTCACATACATGGGGGTTAGGGCAGATCGTCCCCGCAAATGTGACAAATCGTGAATAATACCGGGCACTCCTAACATCTACCCATAACAGCCTGCTAGCCTGAACGATAACACAAGTTGTCTACTTATTACCAATTTCTAAACAAACAGTACTGTACACTTTGCATGTCAATTTACTGTCAGACCTTTTTTATATAATATTCAAGCCATCTAAATTATGCCCCTGTATGTCCAAGGGTACTACTATATACTGGCAGCACTAAGATTTGGAAACTTAAATGTAAAATTACCGGCACCAAAAAGTTACGTTGAGAAATGCAACATTCCACGCTCACAGGGACAGCTAACACCCGAGTGAGGCTGGTTGCAGAAACAAAGATGTATGGTGTACCCAAGCCATGATTTAATGTTGAAGATATAGTGTGCATTTACACATATTACTAATATTACTAATATATATGATTTTATGCAATCCAAATCAACTTCAGCATTGGTTTTTGGGTTAAGCGTCATCTGAGTGTTTCAGCAATCTTTCACTAAGCTTCAAAAATATTCCCATTTAATTGTTCATCACCAAAGTGCAAATAGCCTAAACCGCGAATGCCAAATGCGTGAATGTGAAGGGGTTACTGTAATTTCATGGTCAATTTGACTAATAAAACATAATAGCATTCTTCTAATAAAACAACTAGTGTAGTGTACAGTGTAAATATTTATTCATAAATGCCCATATGTCCCCACAACCTTGTACTGGTTAAGCATTGGAAGTTGGATGGATAGGTGGATGGATGGAGGGAATATGTGCACCTTGGAAGCTAAGATTGAATTTGGTACCAGATGGTGAGACAAGAATCACATTAATGGAAATCCAACCTTTAATACTCTCACCTTAAAGGCCATAAATTTGTGATATGGCTTGGGCGCCCATGCATAAACTTCGACTGAATTCTTGAGAGCAAGAACCAAGAACTTGATTCGCTCATATTTCACTGGAAACAGAAACCACAGTCAGATTATAGAACATACCACAGACCTCTGCAAAAAAACAAGGAGCTGTAATGAGCGAACTGGAAGAAAGGATTGTAAGACATCCATTTCTCATGTCACCTCAGATGTTACCCTCATTTCTGTAGATGTGTTACACCGCAAATACTGTTCAGTGCAGCACCAAGTTAAATAACGGTGTTCAGTCATCAAATGCTTTAATTATTTCTGCCTTTGATAAAAGGAAAAGGGTACTGTGTGGAAGAGATGACAGTCCATCACAGTTCATACACTGTATATGAAAATGGCAATTCAGAGACATCAGCCAACCAAATTGAAGGAGAAATCCCGAGAACCCAGAGAAAACACACTCAATGAGACAGCAAGGGAGAGAAGCAGAAATCAAACCCATAATACTGGAGGTTTGATACTACAGTGCCCAGACTCATATTGCAGCACAAGGACAGGAAGGTAAACAACCTATACGAGATACATACCAACTTTGTAGTGTACACATCCCTCCAGATCCCCCACAGTGGTCCAGCCTTGCTTCTTCTCCACTTCAGGGTCATTATGCAGAATCTTGTTCCTCAGCCAGGACAGGTAGTAAACACGCAGCTTGTTTTTCTTACCTGGCATGGGATATTTATTTAAAAAAATAATAATAAAAAATAAAAGTTGCGGTCGCACTGGACTGATTTCTCTGCGAGTATCACAGACACAGCCAACACAGCCAACACAGCCAACACAGCCAACACAGCCAACACAACCAACTCATTACCACCCCCTGCTTGTTTGGCTAAGCCTGGTCTCAGTTATAGTACTGTAACTAAGTTACAGTAGTTATAGTAATACAGTAAAAGCTCATATGCATTACATCTGGTATGTCACAGTTCAAATTTTACCAGTACAGCACCAAACAGCAGTTTCTGCTCTTTAAACAAAAGGACTTCTGCAAATACTCTTCCTTTCTGAAGTGGTATCACAACATAATTATTTAAATTAATTAAGACAAAAAAGAATTCATAGATCATTTGTTAAATAACCTAAGTGCGTGCATGCATGTCATGTTTTGACTAATACGCATGTTTCTTGCTAAACTTCCTCCTTGGATGTCTAAAGTTGTAATTATGACATAGCAATACTTCCTGCAGCAGATACATTCAAGTGTCCAGTACAGCTTGTCCAGAAGATGAAACGACATTCACATTAAGTGCAAGCGCCTCAGAACAGTTTGGCATGCAGACAAGTCATTTTCACAATTTTTAAACTTCAAATTAAATGAATTTTTACATAATTCAAACACAAAAAGAGGGTATTTTCAAGTGATTATATATCGAGTTGCATGAAAAGGAAAATTTCAAACCAAGGATATTTGAGTTTTTTATGATGAACACCTTTACGGAATAATGGCAATACATTTTAAGTAGAAAATCAGGTCATATAGTAATTAGTTGTGGTTGTGAGGAGGATTAACAGAACTGCGGCAGTCAAACAAGCTGGGACAGTTTGAAATGAGCAGGAACACTGTGTAGAGAACAGGAACTACCTGATATTGTTACCAAGACATTGAGACCCTCCAGGACATCCATCTGCTGGAAACGGCGTCGGTTAATGAGGGGGTAAACTTTACCCTGTCCACTCCGGTCCAGCAGCATCAATCCACTCTCTGTGCCCACCAGCAGGTTCACACCTGGGAGAAAGTGCATGCTGGTAAACTCAGGTCTTCCTTTGAGAGAAGACACTGAGACAAGGCCCAGAAAAAGCTCTCAAGCAGGTTGCTAAAATAGGAGAAGTACATAAAAGCTACAACACTAGAGAAAAGCAGATTCTACTATCAAATCAAGAATAAAATAACAGCTGGGCCTGTGCCAATATGGAATATACTGCTGTATGCTTCAACAATGCTCTCATTGTAATGTTAAGTATAGATTTTGTTCAGTACACTGCGACTTCATGCATATGTTGGCCTTGCTGCCATCTAGTGGCAACATGGAATAGAGCAGGTCTGCCAGCCCAATTGGGACCATCACACTCAAGAGAAACACAACTGGTAGGAAAGCGGAAGTCATCTTTACCCCAAAGTGCTGCACAGAGAATCTCAGAGTTGAACCTCTTCTTGTACTTGCGGATCTCTGGGGTGTCACTCTGCGGCCGGGTGTTAACCGGATTCACATTCACTACTGAGCCCTTCCGAGAGGGATCGTTTAGACGGGTTTCATTTCCAAAAGCTACAGGAAGAAAACACAACTGGCTTCAAAGGTCATCAACCCCAAACTCTCAAAGCTGACAGTGACAGTTCTTTGGCAGCACATTCTTCCTGAAAGGAGCCAAAAATGTGGCGGCATGAAGAGATTATATGTCAGCTGAAGGTGTTCAGATTATACCTGTTCAGTCCATTCACTCAGCTTAGAAGTAGCAGTCGAGAGGGACCAGCAAACCTGCCAAATGCTGCTTTTCCCATGATAATGCTTTTTGAAACTATTCGATTTTATACAAGCTTACTTTAGCGACATGAATTATACAATGATTTTTATAAACATCAATGCGGAGCCACTGCCTGAACTTTATAATCAACACTATTTTTAAAAGGGAATTGCACATCTAGTAAGATCTGACAGTATGCAATAAGCAGAGTGTCAATCCAAGAAGAATTAGTCACTAAGGCAAGTTCATGCTGGCTTGGAAACCAGGACACGTACCTGCAGAAGAGAGTGAGCTCCCACTAGAGGGGGAGATCTGCAGGAGCCGGGGGTCGATGAAAGGCGTGAAGGAGGATGACGACTTGTGTTTCTGCATGGTGTTGCTGGCAGACTGGGTCTAGAAGAGAGAAAATGGGGAGATCTCAACTGGCTATTCACAGACACTTTCAGTTACAGGAATATTCCTATACAGACCTGCACTGCAGTTTTACCAACCTGTAACAGCTAAATTTTCATCTGTGCATTTCATGTAAAGTACTTTGCTCAAGTGTACAATATCGGGTTCCGTACCATCTCAGTCCTTCTTGACTAGATTAATGCTACAGTTGTCATTGTTGGTGTGAATTATCCTGTCAATTAGTGCCCAAGGCTCATTGTAGGACTGAAAGATGCCTTCCCTACCACATATACTTAGCTGGTTATGAGTTTCATAATACTATATAATTGCGGGATTCAACAAACCCATATACAAAGTGTCAGAATTCCATAACTACTATGTGAAGCACAACTAAAGATACTGATCAAAATCACTGGTAAACTAATAGACACAATGGGGAGAGTGAATACATGGAAGAGAAAAGAAGGTCAAATAAGGGTGGCAGCACAGACAAACACTGGAAACAAATGTTTGAGGGAACATCTTGGGGGGAAAAAATGGCAGCATACCATGAATGATGGAAAAACAACACAACCCCAACTAAACAACTATACTGGAGAAGAGATATTCAGTTTCTGAAGTTAATAAAAATAAAACTCTACATACTAAAAGGATATTGGCAAGGCACACCTGGATGGTTCAACAGGGCTGACAGCGAAACAGGGAGGAACCAATGAACACACAAATGCGTACTGCAAGTAACAAACCCATTCCAATCAAACAGGGTTAATGGCCCAGCGGACTGACAGTCCACAGCCTGCTCCGAAACATCCCATTCACCGCACGCCCATGAATGCCAGCGTCCGTCAAAGCCACGAGGATCCAGCCCACGCATCTCTTACTCGGATGAAATGCCACACAACTGTTCTGGTTTATTTTTAAATATTCATCTCGATTTGACGATTTACTGATATGGCAATAGGGGGGAAAATGATTTGAAATACTTCTGTCCAGGGAAGAAACTTCTGAAACTCCAGAGTCTGTTTAAAAAGGAAGCCTGTTTAGTACTGCTGATTTTAAATTATAAAACACAAAGCTGTCATGAAGAAATGGCAAAATCTATTTTGATGCCTGAATGCAAGGGACAGATCCGTACAGGGAGGGAAACTGAAGCATAACCTTTGCGTTGGGAGGGTTTCACTGGTGATGGGCAGGTTCAAAACATCGACCCAGGCAAATCCATTTTGGCAATGTTTGTAGCAGCCCTAACTGGTTCTTTGCAGTAACAAATTACATCAGCAGATCATGTAATGATGCAACTGGCTGAAAACCAACCTTAAAAAACACCTTGTTGTGACAGCTCTAGACTACATTTCCCAGTAGCACCTGGGCAGCGCATTCCATAATGCTCCCGATGATCTGCTTAGAGCCCCAAATTGGGAGAGACTGGGACCGCCCCCCACTGCTGGTCCTTTCACTATCGTCCGCCAGTCCCGAAAGGAAAGGTCTGAGCCCACGAGCAGAGGAGAGTGCAGCGGCCGGAGAGACAGCCGGACCGGGGCGGGGGCAGCGGCGCAGATGCGGGACATACCTCGCTGGCGCTCAGCTTGTCCATGGGGGTCTGGGGGGACATGGAGGGGCTGGCCTGGCTGGACGAGGGGGAGTTGGAGATGGAGGAGGAGGAGGAGGAATGGCTTTGCTGGATGAGGTCTGGCAAGAGATGGATGCGGCCTGCAAAGCCATTGCTCTCCGTGTAGCCGGGGCGCTTTTTTTCCCCTGCGCTCTGTAACCAAGAACAGGTACACTTGGGTCTGGGCTTAGCTGAGGAGCAGTAGGATGATGAAGAGGAGAACTTCTGCTGGGGAGAAAAACCACTAGCCTACTCTTGTTGGGCTGCAGGGAAGGCCATTATAAGGATCGGGCCGCCCTTCCATGAGCCGATTCCTCCCCCTGATGCTTCACAGCTTGAAATTTTCCTCGGCCATTTCACAAAAAATGTAGGAAGGTTTAGTTTTGCGCGAACAAGTGTCCGTTTGTAACTTCTCAGTTACAGAGTTGAAGAACAGCCAGTACATTCACTCAGATGAACCATGATCCATTTACACAGCTCTTCTAAACCTAAGCGCAGAAACATGCCATTTTAAAGTATAGAGAAAACGGTTTGGAAAGCCAATACCACCCTAGCAGGCATTAAGTTTGTTTCTGAAACTACTGCACCTTGCCTACTGCTCCAATAACAAATGGCATTCATATTTTGTGTAATGTATATCCGCATGGGTGTATTTGTGGTGACACCTTTAAATGGAACGGTCATCTCCGCAGATGACAGCTTACAAATGTTTCAGGGTGACCTTTCACAATGGCCGCTTCATCTACAGTAACCAAGCCACATAAAAGGGCCAAGGGTCCAACTCCGAGAGCAGATACAGACAGACACACACTCTTCAGGATCGTCTGTTCATTTCTATGGGCAAAACCCTAAACGCACACGTAAGATAACCTTAACCACAAGTAACCAAATAAAAAACAAGACTTTTGGCATTTTTAGTTTTTTGATTGTAGTCAAATTCATTTATTTTTTATTTACTTTAAAAATGGTCCCCACAAGACCAAAATAACTTATTGTACTGTGGGGACCAAACGTAATACATACATCCATACACACAGATTGCTGAAATCTTTAAATCCGACTCTCCTCCACCTCCTTGCTTATGCTGCTTATTTTTCACTCCTACACACCAACTCTACTGGCCATTTTCCACTGAAGCAGGACAACTCAAAGGTATAACACCAGAAACCCCAGTGGAACCAGCAGTTGAATTTTGCCTGGTTTCTCTACAGCGCCCCCTTGCTGGATGTTGGAGATGATTCCGTGTTCAGTTCACTACGAGATTCAGGATACCACACAGAAGTTCCGGAAAGGGGGTTCCCTCAAAGCAGAGTAACATGGGGAGAGGCCAGAGAGCGACTGAAGTTTTGGAGATGCAATGGTCGTTTTCCCGCATGGGTGAGGAGTCACCTACTGATGTCAGACATTGACGCCTGTTCCTTCGCTTAGTTGTAGTCCAGCCCTCAATGACCCAAACATGGCAGCACTGCCTCAGAACCAAAAGACTAGAGTAGCAGACTGGCAGTGAGATTTCTTCCATACCTTCTGTCTCTCTCACACCCACCCACCCAAAGACTGCCCATTGAAAGCAGGTCTGCTCAATCAACATAAAAAAATGACCAAATTAACCATAAACCTCAAAAATTATACATAAAAATGGAAGGGGTGATGTTCACAATTAAAGAGAATGAAAAAAAGCAGAAATGTTAAGCCGTTCCTCAGAAGTGTAGACTCTCCCCTACCTGTTTGACGATCAAGGTACCATCTTTCGAGGGCGTGGTAGCAGGGTCACTCTCGGTCTCGTCATGAACAATCATGGTCTTGACTGATTCAGTCTCTCCATTACTGAGGTTGGAGGAGCTGGAGACAAGGTCGAGTGTGTGACAGAGCAAAGACATTTGTTAGTGTAATTCAATTCATGTTTTCTCATCTATCATCTGAAAACAGAACTCATAATGTCTGCCATTGTTTCAACTATTCCAATTTCAGTACAACAGCAGCTCTTGCCATCTACAGAAGTTTTCCGATGACTCTTCCATTGTAAGATACATCAGCAATGAAGAGGACCAGTAGAGGACTTTGTCATGTGGTGCAGGGAGAACAACCTGCAGCTCAACATCAGCAAGATTAAGGAGCTGGTGGTGGACTCCTGGCATAACAGGGAGACCCTGAGACCAGCCACCATCCAGGGGGAGAAAGTGGAGGTGATTCAGGGCTACAAGTACCAGGGGTCTACCTGAGCAGCAAACTGGACTGGGCAGACAGTGCAGCAGTGCTGTACAAGAAAGGCCAGAGCAGACTCTACTTTCTGAGGAGGCTCAGGTCTTAACCTGTGTGGCAGGCTGCTGTGGATCTTTTGTGGCCAGCTAGGGTGATGCTAAACACCTGAACAAAGCCATCAGGAAGGCCAGCTCCATCACAGGACTGACC